TCCCGTCGCTCTCTCTCTCTCTCTGTGGAAAATGAGAGAGAAATGAAGAGGCTTTTCTCATTTTCAACTTGTTTCCCATGTTTTCAACTTTTTCGAGTTTTCAACAGAAAATGCCCAAAACGACATTTTCCCCTTTTTCTGTTTTCTTCAGTATTTTTTTTCGTGTTTTCGAAAATATATTTTCGAAAACAGGAAAGAGAACACGTTTTCACCGTTTTGAAAAATCGAAAACAGAAAACGGTTTGAAAACAGTAAAGAGAACAGGACCTTAAGTGACTCAGTTATTTATTTAATTAGCTTTGTTTATAGGCTAAAGAATTCTTCAACGTGGCATCAACATAATAATAAAGAATCTTAAATATCTAAAATTAATAAAAGTATGATTATTTAAAGTTTTAATATATAATATAACCGACCACAATTAGCTTTATTCTTTTGACTTTTACAATAAACAACCTACTTTAATATTTGATGCTTAAATCCGAACCTTTTACAAAGATCAACACATGATGATAAGGATAATTGTCTGGCATGTATTCTTCTTCTCGTACGGATGTCATGATCTCATTTATCGATTGGCGATGGAAAGAATTTTACTATGATCGACTTTAAATTTATTAAAATTAAAAATTAATTTATTTAGTGTTTTACGTGTTGACTAAGAGGGAATAATGTACGGGCAGAACAAGCCAACCACCAATTGGATAACACTAAACATATTTTTACATCTCAGCCAATGCTTCAAAATCAAGTCATACATCTTAGTAAAATTGTTCATTTAAAAATTGTGTTTACAATACAATTCGATGGCTTGACGAACTCCAAATATCTTGGTAACTTAAGAATGAACGGAATTATGGGAAAAAAAAAAATCATATAACCAACCTCAAATTTAAATTGTGTATACAACATGTCCCTTTAACAACTAAACTTTTAGATGAGATAATTCATTATCATGATAGACAAATTGAGATCTTGATTGGTTCAAATCACGTTGCCACCATACGTGACTTTTATGAAAAATGAATCTAAAGGGACATGTTGAACACTCAATTTAAATAAATACATGTCTTTTCTTTAACAGTTTAAGTTTTTAGTAGTGATTCAAGATAATAAGTTGGATCAAAAAATGATGGAACTATACATAATTCACATATATATATATATAAGAATCACATTTCATAACTAACAAATTCCCCAAAATATTTTATAAATCAGGTAATAAATAATAATAATAATAATAATCTACATATTCAGTCCCACCCCCACTGAACTACCATATCCCTAAAAAAATTTTAGAAATTGAAAATTGGAGATTACACCCCACCCCACCCCACCCCATGGTAGAAAAATCTCTAAAAGTTGAAAACGATTACCCACTCTACCCCCATGGTTGAAAGATTTCTAAAAATTGTGGTGGCGATAGTGGTGCATCGTAGGTGACCGAGACTAACTGTACTGTCTATTACCAGATTTATTAATTGTGATCATACCTATATTACATGTGACTATTCGTGACTAAATTTGCATTTGGTGTGATTGTCTGTGATCGTCTAATTTGTGATTGTACGTAACTAAGTCACTGACGCATTATTTGTGATTAGCTATGACAAAATTTATTTTTAGTGTAATTAATTGTGATTAAATTTGTATTCAATGTGATGTCAATCTTAACTGTGACAGTATGTGACTAAGTCACAGCCAACCACAATTAACACAGAATTGATCACAACCAGTTACAATTGACACATACTTGGTCACATATGATGACCATAAACAAATCTGCACACACTGTAAACCAGGACTACAATCAACTACTAGTTACCACTACCATCACCTCCAATGTACCACCACTACCACCTTCAACTCAAATCCACGACCATAAATATTACCTTCACCTCAAATCCACAACAACGATTATCACCACCATCACTTCCACCAACACCTTTAACAAACACCAACCAGCACCATTGCACTATCAAATATAGATCAACAAAAATGTAGATTTACAGCACCCACAGATCTACACACCACAATCACAGCTACCATCGGAGGTGATAGGTTGTCGTTATGCTCCACTGCAGCAGCTCCGATTGGGGCAAAGCTCCACATTCCAATTCCAATGGGTTGCTATGTTAGCACCACCACTAGCTCAACTACTCCAAATTCTTCCATTTTCAATTCCAAAAGTAACAAAAAATGTTCCAGTAAATTTTCACCATCCGTACAGCCATTGCTAGAAGAAGAAAAGGTTAAAGAAGCCTGCAAGAAGTCAACGTCGAAGTTCAGGAACCGATCGTTTTTTGGAAAAGTAAAACAGGATAGAGCAGTGGAGAAATCTCGGATGAGGAGGCCCGAGTCATCACCAGTCGGGTTTTGGGAGGAATGGAAGAATCGATAGCCAATAGTCTTTGCCATTTCTTCTACAAGCAGCGATGCCGCGAGCATCTTCGCGGGGCTAGTATGTTGCTTCCTTCGTTGCGCCGCGAGAAGCAGTCGACAATATTTCGCCAAACCAAAAAGGGAAACGGTTGGGTGGGTAGGTGGTGGTAGAGAAGGTGATAAAGAGAGAGGATAGAGAAAAGGAAGAGGTGGGAAAATATTTATGGTTTCAATTTGGAAATGAAATGGGGGTGGAGTGAGTGGTGGGTATGTGGATTAAGTTTAATTAAATTTTTATTATTTATAATTATTGAAATCTA